CTACCACTTTGTTTGGAACTCTGTATTGTCTGTACTGTGCTTGTGATATTTTGTAAAATGTTGTCTGTCTGTTAATGTTTTCCTCCTTTTATTTAAAAAAAAAAAAAAAAAAGTCTTTCCTTCCCAGAAAAGTTAGTGGGAGGAGAAAAGGAAACGGAAGAGTGAGTAGGCCTGAAGCACCGGCCCACGGTTCTAAGACTGTTTGCGGTGGTGAGACTGCAGGCAAGCTGGCGCCGCAGGGAGACCGAGGCACGCGGAGGCGGAGGGGCGGCTCTTGGCCTGTGTCCCTGTCCCCACCCGCCTGTGCCTGGGCGCGCCCGTGTGCAGCGGGAGGGGCGGGCGGGCCTGCCAGGTGCCGAGGGCCGTGCGGTCAGCCACACGCTGGGTTTCTCCGGGCCTCACACAGGCGTCGGGGGCAGCGGGCGCCTCGCGCTGACAGCCCGGGGCCGGCGCGCAGTCTTACCTGTCGTGTCTCAGCACGGGCGTGGGCAGCACGCTGGTCAGCAGCCACCCGAACTCGGCCAGCGTGTGCAGCAGGGGGCCGTAGTCAGCCTTGACGGCAGTGCCCTGCGGGACAGGGACAGGGCTTGCGACAGCGGCGGGGGTGGCAGGCGCCCTGCGGGGGGAGGAGTGCGCCCCGTCTCCTGCTGCTCCCCAGCTCCGGCCACCCCCGCTGGCAGAGCACGCAGGGCTGGGACCCAGGGCTGGGGCTGTGAGGCGGCGGGAGCGGGCCACCCGCTTTCACCCCAAGCCTCTCCCCGCCAGGAGATTCCCGCTTCACCAAGGCTGGGTCTCCTGTCCACTTCAGGCCAGCGAGGCCGAGGACCCTGCAAGGTCCCTGGCGGGGCCCTGAGTCCCGTGGTGAGGATGCCCAATTCGCCCGGCCACCCCCAGGGCAGTCTGCGGGCGACCGCACAGCGGCAGCGTCACCTCCAGTGGCAGAGGACAGTGCCGTGCTCGTGCCTGGCTGCTCCGGACACTTTGGCCCCACGGTGACTTGGTAAGGCTGGGAAGGGAGCCGGTTGTCAGAACACGACCTGTCCTTGGAGGTATTTTCGCTCTTGTGGCCTTGCGCAGAGAAAGGCTCCCTGCCAGGGGATTCTGTTCGTGGTTAGAATCCTGAGTTTTTTGGAACCCCCTACCTATTTATGGACAGAGGATTAAAGCACGTTCCCCTCCCACACTGGTAAGGAAGTGTGTCACTCACCGGGACGCAGTCCCAGACCCTGAACGAGTGTGTGTGTGTGTGTGTGTGTGTGTGAGAGAGAGAGAGGACCCTGCCAGCAGCCCTGTAACGTGCAGAGCTGCACAGAAAGCCGAGCTGGCTGTCGTCCCGCGGCTCACCTCGATGACCGTCCACTGCTCCACCACGATGGCGTCGTTTCCTTTCCTGGGAGAACCCGGGAGCCCAGAGCCTTCCTCCTCGTAGATAAAAAATCCCTCCAGAGACTTCGGCAAATGGTCCCCTGCGAGGAAGCAGATGCATGAGGGAGGCTGCAGGTCAGAGTTTTTCTGAAGATCAGACTCAGAGAGCCCTGAGAGGAGGCCGGGAGAGAACAAACCCCTGAAACATCTGCTTGCCGCAGCGTAACCCGCTCCTGGCCTTCGCAGCGTCCCTTTCCTCCTTAGACGTAAAGCCAGGCTTACCCTTGGGCGGATTAGACCAGACTATCTGCGTGGAGGCGGCCACGGCAGAAACAAGAGTAGATGATGTGATTCAGTGTGACTCAGAAGAGCGCAGACTCTAACCTGGAGCCGCTCTTCACCTGGAGATCAAATTTTGGTTTCTATTCTGTATGAAAATATTGGTTATGCCATTAAGAGAAACCACATAAAAAATGTTTAATTCTTAGCCAGACGTGGTGGCGCACGCCTGCAATCCCAGTTCTTGGGCGGCTGACCCACGAGGATCACGCTGAGTTCGAGGCCAGCCTGGGCTACACAGTGAGTTCAAGGCCAGCCTGAACTGCATAGTGAGACCCGGTCTCAAGACAAAAAGTTTAATCCTTGAAATCTGAGGTGTGAGGTGAAAATTAGTGGGAGGTAAAATCGTTGACCAGAACAGTTCTTTCTCTCAGCCACATATTACCTCCCACCCTGCCTAAATAGCAACAGGAAAAACCTAAACAGAAGTCATTGTCCAGAGAATTCCTGCAGGGAAGGAAGTTTTAGGAAGGAGGCCTCTGGGGCTTTTTCTTGAGTAGCTGACAATAACCAGCTGGCCTACATGAAATTGGTTTTGTGGAAATTTTTCTGTCTCCTGTGTCACAACAGAGGATATTCTTTCCCATGGTCATGCGCTGGTGACACATTTTGGTTTTGATACAGCACAGTGTCACATCAAAGTTTCTGGGGCTGACGGTTCTCTAAGTAATAGAGGCCTTCCAAGTTTCCTAGTGGTGTTTTAAGCTTAAGAATTAAAAAAGACAAAAGTAATTTCAATGTACCGTTCAGTTTTAATTTTTACTGATAGGCTGTGAACTTCTGCTTTTATACTTTCCTTTTCTGTTAGGCAAGTGTTCTAGCACTAAGCTACAGCAGTTATTAGCTCACTGTTTTATTTAGAGATAAGCTCTTGCCGAATTGCCCAGGCTGGCCTTGAACTTGTGATCCTCTTGCCTTGGCCCCACGAGCAGCAGGCAGTTCAGACACGCAACACTGCCCTGGCCGAGTGTGAACTTTTTTTCCCCTTTTGACATCATTCGTGTTTAGGGCTGCACATCACGAAGAACTGACACCTCGGTGTGGTTCCCAGGACGGTGACATCTGACACCCTGCTGGCGCTGGTGTTTGCTCAGCGCGCCCTCCTCTTCCCGGGTGTGCTCACTCACCCCACCGCTCCAGGTGACCTGGGGGACGGAGCCTGCGCTGTCTTTGAGACTGTGCCCCGGGCTGTCTCTGGGACCGGGAGCCCGAGTGTTAAAACAATCACACACTGTGGCACCACGCTGTCAGCTGTGCTCGACGCCGCGGCCTTGGTGGTTCGGGACGTGGAAACTGTAGGCGTGGTGGCTCTGGGCCGCCTCCTCGACTCGGCCTCAGGGTTGCTGCCGCCTCCCCCCGGTCGGTGTGAACACAGCAACCGTGTCACTGCCTAGCAGCGGCGTGGACGGAGCTCAGAGACGCCACGAGGAGGCTGGCCACCAAGGACGCGGCGTGCAGGGGCCCGCGACAGGTGGGGCGGCCATGCGGCACACTGGGCTTGCTCGGTGGGGTGAGCTGGCAGGCAGGTCGCGGAGTCCAAGGTCCTCGATAGCAGGAGCGCCGGGTCCTGCCCCGCCTGCTGCGTGGGTGTGGACTTGAGCTCGGTCACAGGTCCTCCTTCCCTGCTGGGCTCTCAAGAGCCCCGAGGTCTGACCAGGCCTGGGAAGCCAGGCCTCCTTGTGCCTTTGGGGACAGAGGTGACAGCCAGGGAGGGACCAGGGAAGGCCTGTGGCCAAGTGACCACGGGGTGCTTAGTGCTCAGCCTTCCAGGTCACGGGGGAGGGGAGCACTGTCTCTCAGGTGTCCCTAGGGCTTCCCAGCCAAGGTGGCTGGGGCCTGCTGTGCAGAGACCAGCCTGGCCACGCGAGACTCAGGCGTCCTCCTGCCCCGGTGTCTTCCCAGCCCTGGGCCCAAGGTCACATTGTGTGGTGACCTGGGACAGGCACAGAGCACAATGAGACTGCGTCTTGACAGTGTTTGGGCGGGACACCCCAGCAAAGCCACCACACTCGTGTCCCTAAAAGACAAGCTCCAGGGGTGAGCTTTAAAGGGACTCCTTTAAAACTGACGTGCTAAAAACAAAAAACAAAACAAAACAAAAAAACCCAACTGACGCGCTGTGTGATTAGTTTTTCCCCAGAACTTTGCAAAGATGTTGCCGAAGCGAGTGATCCGAGGCACACGTGGCTCACGCTTCGTGACAGGTTCTCCTGCAGATGAAATCCGAGCGCATGGAGATACCTGAACGATTCAAGGCATCCGTTATTACCGTTTCTGTATGTCGGAAAGTGTTGTCGTTATACATACACAGTGGAAATTCAACATGTTCATTTTTGTCATTTGAAAAATTTGAGAGCACCTAGATTTTCTTAGTTTTCAATTCCATAAAAACGTGTAGTGGACACGTTCAGAGCACGCCAGAAATGCAGGCAGACAAGTTTCATCTGAAGCTCGACAAGTTATGGACTCATCACTTGAGACAAATGAAATGGCCCTGGTGGCAAACCAACTCCAGGGGCCACAGCCGAATGACACTTGTCACTCTTCCGGCTGCATTCCTGCTCCCGCTCCATCCTGAAGGTCACCAGAGGGGGCGGGGACAAGCCCAGCAGCAGAGGTTACAGAGAAGAGTGGCCGGGCCACCGCCCAGGGTCTCCCAGGCTGCTCCCTGAGGAGGATCCCTGCGGTTCCTTGGAGACGTGCAGGGCGACGTTGCCGACGTGCTGTTTAAAAGCCACGTGAACCTGTGTTCTCCTTAAATGCACTCACGGAATCTAAAAGCAGCGTCCTTCCCTGCAGGCTGTGAGCTCTGAGCTGTCTGGCGTGGTGCACGTCCCAAAAGCATGTTTCCCAGGTTGGTCTGGAACTCAAGATTGTCCTGCCTCAGCCTCCTGAGTGCTGGGGTTACAGGTATATGCCACCATGCCTGACACCCAGCTTTTCTTTAAATCTCTCTTTTTTTAAAAAAATTCTCCTAGAAAGGCAGTTTTGGGAAACTTTTAGTTGGTTTTCTGAGAGACAAGAATTGAGTATGTATCTAAAAAAAAATTATAAAATTGCCTCATCTAAAAATCATGAAATGCTCATCTAAAAAATAAAGTTTCTGGGTGTGGTGGCGCACGCCTGTAATCCCAGCACTCGGGGGGCTGAGGCAGTACGTAAAGGGGAAGGCTAACTGACAAGGAGAAACAGACCTGACCACCAGGTCAGCATCACCTCCTGGACCACAGATCCCTCCCACGCAGGTTGGGGCGACGCGGGTATCTGCTCTGTGCGCAGCGGCAGCCACTGTGGGACCCGGGAGGAAAGCAGACATGAGCTCCGCACCGGCATAGCCTCTGCCCAGGATGCCGGGCTGCAAAGGCCAGCCAGCCCAGCCCGTCCGCCCGGCTCAGCCGCGATCCCTCCTGTCCCTTCCCTCGCTGCCGAGCTGTGTGACCAGTGAGGCCACCCTCTCCTCAGGGTCATCTCTGTCCTCTCCACCACGGACGAGAGGCACAAACTCCAGAGGCAGCTTCAGCAGAGTCCGGAGCCCTAGACATAACGCGGGGCTCACTCACCACTTACCTCGCGGGGAATCCCAGCACACGAAGGCGTCGGTTAAGGAAAAGCCTTGCTTGTAATAAAAGGTCGTGAGCTCCAGCCAGTCGGCGTCCAGTGTGCTGATGACGGCCCCCTTCCTGGCCACCTTCATGGACAGGGCACCCTCCTGGTAGCTCCAGCAGGCCGCGTCGTCCTCGAAGGCGTTGAAGGCTGCGTACAGCCTGGGCTCTGGGGTTGGCACGGGAAGATGCGTTAGGATGGGGGGTCGGCAAAGTCAGAGCTTTAGGACCACTCAGAGGGGCAGAGAAGAGAGCGGCGGGGGCCCCCAGCGCTCAGCGAATCCCACGTGCGCCTCGCGCCAGTCACAGAGGTGGGGGCAGCGGGGCGACGGCGTGGTGCCCGCTAAGCGCCTCTCAGCTCAGGAGCGCGCTGCGGATTGGCTTCATGGAAGCTCGGAGGCTTGAACACACGTTATGCACCCACATATAGCGCGTGGTGCTTTGCCTTCTGTGAGTATCATGCTACTATGTGTCAATCTGTAAGCTGAGTTTTTTGATGGTGCTGGGTTTTGAACCCAGGGCCTCATGCATGCTATGCAAACACTACCCCTGAGCCACCCTGCGGACTCTGTGAGTTGATTTATTCTTTGTTCAAAGTCATGCCTTTGAGACTTAAGTAGCTACATAGATCTTACTCATTCATTTTAACTACCACATGATATTCCAGTTAACTATTCTTCTTTTGATAGACACATCTACTTTTTCTAGATTTATTTGTTTATTTATTGGCTTTCTGAAACAGGGTCTCACTATGAAGTCCAGGATGGGATTGAACTTGAAGTGATCTTCCCGCCTCAGCCTCTTGAGTGCTGGGATTATAGGCGCGCACCACCATGCCCGGCTTGTTTCCATTTTTTTCTTACAAATATTCTCCATGTCTCCTTGCACACGTGTGTGAGGAGGCTGGAATCCACACGTAAACACGGAAGTGCCGGGTCACATCTTGGCTGGGAACTGGCGAAGTCCTAACGTTGGGTGCAGGGGCCCACGGCTGTGACTGCTTTGGGAAGCAGGCTCGGCTGTGCGACAGAGTATCTGGGGCCTACGGCGTCTTTCGTGCATCCCATAGCCCTTTCCTCCCACCCCAGGCAGGTACGAAAGTCACTGCGGAGCATATAGCTTAAAATACTCAGAAAGCAGCTGAGACTGATGGGGTGAAAGCCCATGTTGACTGGGCCTCGGAGGACGGGATGACACCCGACTGGGTCCACCTGAGGGGCTCAGGGGCGGTGAGGGGGTGCCAGACCCAGGACGCCCTTGAAGCTCAGCCCCCCGGCTCGCCTCCTGTGGGGTCCCTTGGTGCCGGCCACGACTCAGCACTGTGCAGACCCCTCCTGTTTGCCTCTCAGAGCAGCCCGGGAGCCCCCAGCACCTCTCTTTATAAGGAAGCTGAGGTGTCCTGCTCTGGAGCCCCGACCCAGGCGGCCACCTCGAAGGCAGACAGAGCCTTTGATTTTCTGTGATAGTGTTGTTTACAACCACGCCTGTGATCCCAGCATTTGGAGGCTGAGGCAGGAGGACTGCTGTGAGTTGGAGGCCAGCCTGACTACATAGCGAGACCTTGACTCAGAAACAAACAGTCAGAACGAAGCCTGTAAAGGGTCAGAAAACCTGAACAGCGCTGAAAAAATCTACGCTCAATGGCGGCTTGAGAAACCTGCACTTTGGCAACCAGGAGCCAAGCCATTGCCTGAGGTTTTCTCCTGCCCCTGAAGCTGCTTCGCCGGAGCCAGGCCTCATCACCAAGTGCTGCCTCAAGAAAGCCAATTAACCTCAAAGGTGAGAGTGCTCCAGGGAACGGGACAGACCCCGAGGCAGCGCGGAGACACACAGAGCAGAGTCCTGGCTGTGATCCTGCCCTACCAGGGGCTGGGACTCCCGAGAAATAAACCTTCTACCCGAGGAACTGTGCAGCATGAGTTTTGGAGGCCACCTAACAGCGATCTCCATGTTAGAGCAAAATTAAAATGACTCCAGAGATCTCTCAAAATCACTTTCTCAAATAATCCCCATCATAAAAAAAGATAATAATTTAAAAGCCCAAACCACAGTCATGTTTGCTTGATACTGACAAAGAAGAATTACAAGTTGAATTGTTTCTTCCTTTCATTTTTTGAGATGGGGTCTCACTCTGTTCCCCAGGCTGGACTTGAACTCATGGGCTCAAGAGATCCTCCTGCCTCAGCCTCAACCCACAGTTTCATCATGGGATGGCCCTGTGGGACCTGCTAGTGGGGGGTGTGGTCTGAAACTCTTCAGGCTCCTTCCTACTGTGATGATTTTTAAAAATCACGCACAACTTGGATTAATTCATTGACTCTTCATAATCTTTAGAAATTTACTTTGAGAAAACCTTTAAAAATGTATTTTGGTTGGGTGTGGTGGAGCAGGACTGTAATCCCAGCACTCAGGAGGCTGAGGCAGGAGGATCGTTGCAAGTCTGAGACCAACCTGGGCTACAAAGTGAGCTGAAGTCCAGCCTGAACTGCATAGTGAGACCCTGTCTCAAAAAGACAAAAAAAAATGTATTTTGCTAAGTTGAAACTAGGACCATATTCTCTTTTTTTGTCTTGTTCATTTGTTTTTGTTTTTGAGACAGGGTCTTTCTATGTGGCTCAGGCTGGCCTGGAACTCACGGTGACCCTCCTGCCTCAGCCTCCCGGGCGCATCTGCTGCCATGCTGGCTCTGTGTTCTGGTCCCTTACCTTCTCCCTTCCTTGGCTTGGTAGGGCCGGGGCTGCCATCAAGCTCCCCCTGTGCCTGGCCGCTCTCCTGACGGGGCGCTTCCCCAGGGCCACTTTCTGACGCCGGCCTGCGGCCTGGTCCCTCGTCTCTGCTCCTCCGGCTGTCGTTGGCTGCGGGCTCCGCACCTGCACCCCGGCCGGTCCCGTTGCAGCATCTGGTCGGCGGGCAGAGCTGCGGGAGGAAGCCCACGAACCGCATGCCTCCCCGAGCCGCAGCGTTGACCTGAGGGGCAGAGAAGGACAAAGAGCCACGTGTGGCGCGGCCACCATTGTCACCTTAGTGCAGCGGAGACGCCTCCCAGGGCTTCCCCAGAAACCTCTCAAAGCAACGTTGCCACGCAACCCTTATTGTCAAGGAGGACAGAATTGAAAAGCAGAAAACCCGCAGTATGTTTGATGATGTTGGTCCAGAAAAAGTTAAAGACTATGTCATTTCTTCTTTTCTTTTAGATAGGGTCTCACTCTGTTGCTCAGGCTGGACTCAGACTCCTGGGCTCGAGTGATCCTCCCGCCTCAGCCTGCTGAGTCGTGGGAGCACTGGCACACCCACCACCCATGGTGGAGAGACTGTTGCCTGGCATAGCTGCGCACACACAGGCTCAGCGCCTGGCAGAACCTGGACGCTTCCTGGTCTCCGCCATCGGTGTCGGCGTCTCGGCACCTTTGTCTCTGACCTGGGCTGAATCCACGGCTAGGTTCAGTCGGAGCAGAGGACGCAGCTTTGTGAACTTGCTTCCGAGCGAAGGGCCAGAGGAGGTGTGAGCGTGCACAGGAGGAGGTGTGAGCGTGCACAGGAGGAGGTCTGAGCGTGCACAGGAGGAGGTGTGAGCGTGCACAGGTCAAGCGTGCACAGGAAGTCGAGCGTGCACAGGAAGTCTCAGTGTGCACAGGAGGAGGTCCGAGCGTGTGCTCTCCTGGCCCACCTCTCACTTGCACGCGCCTTGCCCCACCTTTGCTTCCTTTCCAATCCATTCTACCTGCGTCTCTTTCTGCGCCCACTTGGCCGTGGCTCCAGCAGCGGCTGTGTCTCATCTGTCCTCCTCCCTGCCGTCCTCGTTTAGCAGTGCCCTGTCCTAGGCCCTACAATCTAGGTGCTCGTCTAAGTCCTTGCTAAGCAAGTGCAAGGGAAGAGCCGGTGCGTCCGCTCTGCAGTCGCTGCTGGAAGCACTTGACTTGGGGGCTGTGAAGGTGGCCCGGTCGGTGAGGAAGTTGTGGTGCAAATGGAGACACCTGTGGCTGGACTGGACTGGGATGAAAAAGCCCAGGAAGAGCTGGACTGGACAGGCAAGGCGCAGTCTCGGGGAAATGCAGCGGACTGGGCAGCAGGGTCAGGGCGGAGGCTGGGGTGTGCAGCATAGGCTTATAACCGAGACAAATCCTTGAAAACCGCAGGGCTCCCCTTTCCTCAGAGTCCCGGGGGCCGGGTGCGTTCAGCGGCTTCTGCCCCAGGAGCCGGTGTGGCACAGGCAGACAGGCTCGGGCTCCCTGGAAGCTGTGGCCTGAGAAGGTCACCTGGTAGCAAACACAGCTCGCTCTTTTCCAGGTTCTGGGCTGGAGCGCTGAGATCCTAAATTTACAGCCCCAAGGGGTATGAAGCGCTTGTAAACCTTATTTTAAAACCAGTGCAAGGGGCTGCGGGGAGGCTCAGGCTCAGTGGGTGGAGCTCGCCCAGCGGGCAGGAAGCTGAGGGCCACCCAGTCCTGCGCACACCCAGCGGGGGTGACCCTGCTGTGACCTAAGCTCCGGGTAGAAGCCAGCGCCCGACAATCGGCTCAAAAATAGTATCTGGCTGCTTCTCGCACTCCTGTTCACACTCGATGCTGTCTGGACCCCGCCCGAGCTGCGCTTCCTGGGGCCGCGCTCTCCGTGAAAGAACCCAGTTACAACTCGCTGAAATAACAGTGCCTTCCTGTTTGGTGGATTTCTAGCTGGGGCCAGGAAGTCAGATGCCAAACCAGGGCTCCGCAGGTGACCTTTTAGGACTAAATGAGCAGCTATGTTTGTTATTTCCAAAAGAAGCTTTCTGGAGCGAACTCATTCCCAGAAAAAACATTACAGTTCCCAGAACAGCAGTGGTGAGCAGTGTGCGTACTTTGTTTATAAATGTCTAGCCTTCAAGACGGCTCCTAAAACTGTACTGAACGAGGCTTTGTCTCTAGCTGGGGAATGTCCTGAGCAGCTCTAACACAAACCACAGCTAGTCTTGCACACAAGGTTATTCAAAGTTTGGAACCAAAAACAGAAACCAATGAACAAGTTTCACAGTTTCTCACCCAGCAGGAAATACCTTAGGTTTTAGGCTGTAGGCCTTTAATAAAAGCTAAAGACCTGTGAATGCATCAATACAAATAAACCAGAAATGGAAAACAAACAAAGCCTTCATTGTAAAGCCCTATCGTCTTGGACTATTTATGAATGTATCCTTTTTCCTGGTTTTAACAATCTATACATAGCGTCCACCTTAATCGAAGGCCTCCCTTTACTGTCTTTGTCGTCAGTGAGGTGTTACGCTCACGCCCATACAATGTTTGATTATATTGATAACCATGGTGTCCTGCAAGGACTTCCAGTTCCCGGAGCTTGGTTCATGATTCACTGTTGATGAAATATCTCCCTGTTAAAGTGACCTTTTCTCTTTTCATATTATTTTTTGGAACAGATGGCTAAAAAGGAGATTGCTAGTTTACAAAATTAAACAGGACCTCAGATCCTTACTTCCAAATGGGCATCAGGAACCCCGCGCTGTGTGTTACGAAACCAGGTGCAACACGAGGTCAGTGTCTTGAAGCTTTGGCGACTGTGGATTTCATACTTTCAGTTCTGTTCCCAGTTGGACAGTGGAGAGGTGGTCACTCTCAGTTTGTGCTTACATTAAAAACTACTAGCTCGACTCTCTGCCGGCCAGCTCCGTGGCGTGCGTTTCCGTTGGCGCCTGCTGTCCAGGTGTCCACTGTTCAGGGGTGGGCGGCATGTTCACGTATTTATGTTCGTTTCCTGTGTGTTCCCTGCAGATTCCTCCTGTTCCTTCTTCAACTTTTCCAGTGCACAATTTATGTTTATATCCTCAGACTCTTTGATCTACGCGTCATTCGATATGCTTACTTTTCTGTTTTCTCTCAGATTCTTTATATTTTACAGAAGTATCTCCACACCTCATCTGAAATGCGTGGAACTTCTGTATTTCCTATAGGACAAATGCTCACTTTCTCCATAGCACTTGTTAAGTAATGGTTATTCTTCTGCTTTCTCTTACCAGGTTTGTTATTAAATTTCTATGTGGTTACCTCCATTCTGTTTCATTGGCCTGCTTTTCTGGTGTGTGTGTGTGTGTGTGTGTGTGTTCTGAGACAGGCTGGCCTCGAACTTGTGATCCTCCTGCCTCAGCCTCTCAAGTGCTGGGATTACAGGTGTGCACCACCATGTCCAGCTCTGGTTTTCTGTTTTTAAAGCCGTACAGTTTGGGACAAGTGCTTCAGTGGTTTTAAGTCGGATAGAATAAGTCATCTATTGCTTTCTCATTCTTTTAAAAGTAAAAACAAGCATCTGTGTCTCAGTCACCATGGAAGCACACAGGTACCTTCTCCATCAGCTCCTTCGCGATGTCGCTGGTCTGTGCATCCCCAGGCACCGGACACTCTTCGATGACCAGCCGTGGGTGCCTCCGTGTGCTAGGTGCTGCTGGGTGCTTGGGGCTGCAACAGAGGGAGTGCGTTCGTGTCGCCGCTTGTCTGTGACACGGTCGGGGGGAGGGCAACTCTAGAGCCAGGACCAGGGCATCTTTTTTTTTCTGTCTTTTTGAGACAGTGTCTCCTTATATAGCCCAGGCTGGCCTCAAACTCACAGCAATCCTCCTGCCTCAGCCTCCCAAGTGCTAGGATTACAAGCATGTGCCACCACAGAGCCAGGGAGTCTTTCTAAACTAACGTTTGCTTTTACTGGTGCATGTGTGCAGTGCACTCTGTCACGTGCCTTGTGGGGGGCTGGCCCATGCCCGTGCCGCAGTCCCACCCCTCACCCGCTTCTTCAGCTGGTCCAGGCCCGCCTGCCTGCCCCATCTCCCGCCTTTCTCTGGGCTCGGGCCCTCCTGTGTTGTTACTTCAAGCCCCGTGCCTCTCCTCATGAAAACACCAGAAGCACACTCACTTCTATTGACTTAAATTCCTCGGTCTAAACTTCTAGCGCCCTAACCTCTCACTGTGGATGGAGGAGCTCGCTTCTGAGGTCAGGAGACACGGCCCAGGCCGCCGTCACACCGCGCTGTCCACAGAAGCCTGGCGCGCCCCCTGGGTGGTGAGGCGAGCGTGGCCCTCCCTTTCTCTTCCCTCTGGTCTCTCTTCCTAGCTCATTCCCAGCCTCGTCAGGCGCAGTGCAGCCACCCGAGCAGTGCTGAGCGGAACTTGCTGACGGGGCTGCAGCTGGGACTGGACGGCGGTCGGAGCCCGGGGTGGCTCGGTCCCCGCGGGGCTCCGGCACCCAGGACACGGGCGAGCAGGCCTTCAAGCACACCCGCCAACTGTTTTGTTTTGCTTTTTGCTTTTTGAGACAGGGTCTCACTATGCAGTTCAGGCTGGCCTTGAACTCACTTTGTAGCCCAGGCTGCCCTCCAACTTGCAGTGACCCTCCTGCCTCAGCCTCCCAAGTGCTGGGATTACGGGTGTGTGCCACCACACCCAGCTCACTTAGACTTTTCTTCTCCTTCTCCTTTTTCTTTTGCATGGTTCTGGGGATGAACCGGGACCTTGTATGCTACGCTACCACTGGAGCATTAGGCCACACCCCCAGCCACACCCGCGATTTTTTGGCCCCTTCCTAATCTTCCAGTTTTCCTAGTTTCCCACTCTTTTCCTCTTAGTTCATTTGTTGTTCACTGTTTCACAGTTAAAGTTGTTGACCCATCACTACAAAGACAGAACAGGTTTCACTCTGGTCTTTGAGACGGTTTGAAAGAGTTATGTACAAAAATACACTGCGTTAATTCCAGCACTGTTTCAGTTATTTTCATTCTTCATTGGAAAGGGCCATAGTGTTTTTACCATAAAAGCTGCCAAATGTGCGATCTAGGCACACAAAGGTGGTTGCAGTGTTGTTTAGAAAAGCAGCGATTACTTTTTAAAAAGTCATACAAGATGGAGCTGGGCATGATGGCACATGCAGTGACCTCTGCTCTTTGGGAGGCTGAGGCAGGAGGGTTGGAAGTTCCAGGCCGGCCTGGGAAACTCAGCGAGACTGTGTCTCAAATCAAGGAGGCTGCGTGTGTGGCCTGAGGTGGAGGACCTGCCGGGCGGAGCGTCATGGCAGGAGGCTGTGGGCTGCGGAAGTGACTGTGGGGATTTGACCCCCATGATGGGTGGGGAAGTGGACGTGTGTCTGGCCTGGGAGCCCGGCCTGGCTTCCCGCTGCACAAGTCTGGGAGTGTAGCGCCTCTGTCACACAGCCGTCCCCGGGGCTCCTGCGCGGAGATGCGGGGTCCCTGACCTGCTGAGGCTGTGCCTGCACCCTCCGGCTCCCTCCCACATGCTGTCCCTGTCCCCGTCCGCAGCTGTCTGCACCCACGCGTCCCAGGGGGCTCCCACCCAGTGTATTTGTGGACAGAGCGGGAATCTCCTTGCCCCATCCGGCTCTGACTCCTCCCACGGCGGCTGAAGCGCAAGCCCGTGTGTGACCCGATGTCCTCGCCCTGCCGCCTCCGCAGAGCCACGGCCCCGCTGCCCCCCGGTCCACATGGCTCACCTGGCTTTTGGCCGCAGCAGCACGGCTCGGTACAGGTGACTGGCGGGCAGGGGTGCCCGTGGGCCCGCGGGGTGCAGGATGGGGTGCAGGGCTCCCACCACGTAGCCCTGGAGGTAATAGTCCTCCACCTCGGTGACTATGTCCTCAACTGAGTGTATCCTGATCAACTCCGGGTGTGACGAGGCTGAGAGAGCAAAAGCAGAGAGAAACGTGCACGTTTGCAGACTGAATGTACGTGATTCTACATGTGGCAACGCCACTGGGCCAGTCCCTGGGCGAGGTCTCAAACACGCCACACCAACAGGTGCTGTAGCTTTTCTTCGAAGCCAGGGCCACGAACATACATGCTAGCTACGCACTGGGACTGGCCGACACCCCGAGCCCGGTTTATTTTATTATTTTGAGACAGGTTCTCACTAAGTGGCCAAGGCGGGCCTCGAACCTGCGATCTTTCTGCCTCAGCCTTCTGAGGAGCTGGGATTATACACAGAAAAAAACTGACCTGGTGAACTGTAGGTGTGTGACAGTACCAGCATGTCTTAAAGCAGAAATGCAGTGCTGCTATCAAGTCAGGCAGATTCTGAGCATCTGTATTTCCACTAAAATAGACTGAAGACACAGAAAAGAAACCCTAATTTGCAGAGCCAGTTGTTTACATGACCCTGAATAGATGGGGTGCATGGGTTCGGAAAGGTAAAACTGATACAATCTAAAAAGTAAAAATGGGAGGAGTAGCACTTAAGCAGGAATTATCAGGAGCTCTAAGTGTCTCATGGAACCCATGTAAACGCAGTAAAGGAGGTGAGAAGGTCAGGCCACCCAGTACTTCCCTGGCCTTTGACATTTCTTTTAATTTTAAGCAAAATAAAATTACTCCAAAGGGGTTTTTATGCTCATAGAACCCTAAAAGCAGACTGTTTACCATAAGTAGAAAGCTGTCTTACAAATAAACAACACAAAGGAGACGTAGGTGCCCATTCGCTCTGTGACCTGCCCCGCGTGAGCTTCCTGGCTGCCATGAGGCGAGCTGGTTTCCTGTGCCAAGCCCTTCTGATAGGATGTCTCTGCTCACCCAAGTCTAGAGGCATTGGCGGGTGTCAGCCAACCATGGACCAAACCTCTGAACCATGAGCCACAGTAGATCTCTCTTCCTTGAAGGTATAAGGTATCTGTCATGGTGATAGAAAGCTGACAATACACCCTCTAATCTAGATTCTTCTGTAATAGCTCCCAGTTTCTAAAAATGATAATGAATTCAAATATTTTCACACTGTTCCCTCTGAGCAAGCTCCGCCTGAAGGCTGATGCCACCTGTGTCTCACTGGTTTGTGACTGCACCTTGGGTCACCCTAGGGATGCTCTGGGTCAGAACCTGCCTAGGTCCAGGTTGGCCACGGAAGTCACCTTGGCTGGAGTCAGCGCCCTGGACGCAGGCAACTGCAGCGGATGCTTCCTCACTAGCGAGGTGGTGGTGGTGAGGGGGGAAGAGGCTCAGCGATTCATAAGTTGTCCTCGTTGGTCCTCGTCTGACGAAAGTTGCTGGGCCTTGCTGGAAATGCACCATCGCCACTCAAGAAGAGCGAGCTGGTGGAGAGAAGGGGGCCCTTGCTGAGCACCCCTGCTTGCAACGCCCAGCTGCTCGTAGCGGTGCTGAGCCGAGACTGGAAGTGGTCCAGACACCGAGACAGGACCGAGAGAGCTGTGCTGCGCTGCGGAAGACCGCATCCGGACACAGTCCCCGCCCCGGGCCGCCGGCTCCACGTCCCCACCCCAGGGCCCCGCTCCAGAGGCTCGGTTTCCCTACAGCGTGGGAGTGAAGGGCCGGGGTCCGGGCTGGAATCCAACAGCTGCGAGCCTCCCGGCCCCTCTGGCTCCCTGGGTTCTGTGAGACAAGGAACAAACGGCGCTGTTTACCGCTTTGACGGGGATAGCTGGTTCCTCTTACATCAGTGCTCCGCGACTTGTAGGAGCTTTAGTGCATCCTCCAGGGCTATTGTGAGGAGCCACGGAAGAATTTTGCGATCGCCTTGACAACTATACAAATGCAAAGTGCGTTTTTATTATTAAAATTTAAACATGTCAAAGGTTAAGCAACAGTTTTTCACTCGTTTTCATAGTTTCTACAATAAAATATCCGTAGACTTCAAATGTTTTGTTTTGCCTTGCATCTCCTTTATTTTAGAATTTTTTTATCTAAAGTTTTTTGTGAGCAGTTTGCAGTCACAGCGATTGCATTCACGGAGGGGAACTGGCGCCGCGGGGGACCGCATCTTCCTTGTTTGTGCTTCCCTCCCCTCTCCCCCTCACATTTGGGGTGTCGTGCATGTTTGTAACACAGCCGCTGACCTCTGTTCTTGGGGATTGCACATGCACACGGAAGTCTCGGTCATTTCCAATCCCTTACCTGCCTCTCCTTTCCCAGCCCTTTCCCGTCTCCAAAAGTCTAACTTCTAGCTCCTTATTGTCTGTCTCACTCTTCTGTTCTGTTCTAGCTTAGGTTTCTCATATGAGAGAAACGCGCGATATCTAACGCTCTGAGTCTGGCTTGTTTTGCTTACACGATGGTCTTGAGGTGCAGACGGCACGATTTCTTTCTTCTCTCCGCTGGAATAATATCCCATTCTGCATGTATAGCCCACATTTTCTATTTCGAGCCTTCTGTTGACAGGCACCGAGGCCCTTTGCAGAGCTCCGCTGTTTTGAATTGTGCCGTAGAAAACACGGGCATGCATGTATCGCCGTAGCACGCCGTCCTTAAATCTTGCCAAGAATATACTCAAGAGAGGAACAGCAGGATCAAACGGTGTTTTCGGTTTCACTTTTTTGAGGGAACACCATGTTGATTTTTTTTTTTTTCCTTTTTGGTACTAGGAATCGGACTGAGGACCTTGCGTTTGCCAAGCAGGCGCTGTACTGTGAGGTATATCCCAGGCCCACCATTCCCACCAACAGTGCAAGAGGGTTTCTTTCCCCTGTATCCTGGCATTCCTTGGTCTTTTGGTGCTCTGGATGCAGGTGTAAGATGCACTCTCAAGGCAGTTTTGATTTTCATTTTCCTAGGGACTAAAGATGCCAACTATTTTTCATATATTTATTGTCCGTTTGTACATCCTTTGACACATCTATTCAATTCTTTTACTCACTTCTTTTGACTCACTCATTTGTTTTTTTTTCTTTCTTTCTTTCTTTCATTTTTTGTCTTTTTGAGACAGGGTCTCACTATGCAGTTCAGGCTGGCCTTGAGCTCACTCTGTAGCCCAGGCTGGTCTGAACTCTCAACGATCCTCCTGCCTCAGCCTCCCGAGTGCTGGGATTACAGGGGTGCACCACCCCACCTGTCCAGTCATTTGTTTCTGGGGGTTAATTTTTTGAGTTCTTTGTATGTCCTAGATATTAGTCCTCTATCTGAAGAGGAGTTGGTAAAAATCGTCTCCCACTTTGTAGGTTTTTCTTCATTTTGTTGGTTGTCTGCTCTGTTGTAAGAAACTTTGTAATTTGACATAGGCTCATTTGTGGATTCTTGATATTTTCTCCTGCGCTTTTGGAGACCTATTTGGGAAATCTGCTCCTGTACCTCCAGCTTCGTGTTTCCCCTGGTGGTTCTAGCAGTTTCGAAGATTCTCCTTCTATATCCGGTTGGATTTTAGAGTAAGGGAAGAGGCAGGAGCCCAGAGGTCATCTTCTCTCCATCGTATGTTTTTGGCCCCTTTGTTAACATCAAGGGGCTGCGGACCTATGGGGTTGCGCTTTTGTTTTCTGTTCTATTCCACTGGTCTACCTGTTGTCTGTCTTTGTGCTGATCCCACGTTGCTTTTGTTCCTCTCGCTTTGTGGTATAACGTGGAACTCAGGGCTGCGATGCCCTCCAGCTTGCTCAAGATGCTCTACTTATTCTGGGTTTCCTTTGATTCCATATGAAGGTTAGGGTTTTTTTCTAGTTCTGCAGTGAACGCTGTTCGGATTTTAATAGGAATTGCATCAAGAGGGATCACATCACTTTTGGTAATACTGCTATTTTCACAGCTTTAGTACTTCTGGCCAAGACAAGGGAGTCTTTCCATTTTCATTTTGTTTTGTTTTTTTTTTTTTTTTGGTTTTTCTCCGGTACCAGGAACCGAACTCACGACCTTGCACTTGCCAGGCAGGCGCTTTTGCCGCTGAGCTAAATCCCCAGCCCCTCCATTTTCTAGTGTCCCCTTCAACTTCTTTCTTCAGAGTTCTGTGTTTTTCATTATAGACGACTTTCACTGCAAGTTAATTCCTAGATATTTACATTTTTTGGTGCTGTTGTAACTGAAACTGTTTTCCTGATTTCTTTCTCAGCTTCATTATCGCTGTATGGGGCTGTTACTGATTGTTGTGTTGATTTTTGTATCCTGCCACTTCTCTAAAATTACCACATCTAAAAGTCTTCCGGTTGATTTCTTTTGTCTTCAAGGTAAAGGATTACTTTATCTACAAATATGATAAATTGACTTCTTCTTTTCCTATCTGTATCTCTTTTGTTTCTTCCTTTTGCCTGATTGCTCCAGCTGAAGTTTTGAGTACTGTATTGAACAGGGTGGTAATAGTAGACATTTTTGTTTCATTCCTGATTGGAGAAAAACCCTTTTAGTGTTTCAGATGTAGGCTTCTGAGTTTCTCATATATGTCTTTTATCAGTTTGAGGTTAGAGCCTTCTATACCTATTTTCTTTTTCTATCTTTTCTTTTTTCTTTTTTTGTTTGTTTTTGAGAGGCCTTGCAATGTAGTCCAGGCTGGCCTTGAACTCATGATGACCCTCCTGTCTCAGGCTTTCAGCTGCTGAGAGTATAGATGTACACCACACCTGGCCCCATACCTATTTTCATCTTTTTTTTTTTTTATCATGAAGGATTGTTGGATTTTGTCAAAGACTTTCTCTGTGTCTATTGAGCTGATCTTGTAAGTTTTGTCCTTGATCCTATTTATTCAGTGAATTACAGTTACTTATTTAGGTAGGTTGAACCATCCTTGCACCCTTGGGATGAGACTATGCTGTATGTTTCTAATGAGCTGTTGAATTCTGTTTGCAAGAACTTATTGAGGAATTTTGCAAGCATGTTCATCAAGGATATTGGTCTGTAGTTTTCTCTTTTTCTTGGGTCCTTTGAGGATCCAGCAGTTTTGGTATCAGGGTAGTGCTGGCCTCGAAGAATAGTTCTGG